CTGTGTCTAACAGTAAAGAATGTATGTTTTGAGAGTAATAAATTTATATAAAAAATTAGTTATTATGAGAAAAAAAAAAAACAAAATACTACAAAAAAAAAAATAGATAAAAAAAAAAAAAGCAAGGGAAAAAGGGGGGGGGGGGTAGGGTGGTGGGTGTGAAGGTGTGGGGGGGGGGGGGGGGGTGGGGGCATACCTATGCTTAAATTTTTTCCAGAGGCTTGCTTTAGATTTTCCATATATTTGTCTGTAATTTTCCTGGGACTCTCTTACAGACAGATGTAAAGAAAATTTTACAAAGTGGTTTTATGTCTTGTAGCACATGTAATGCCCTCAGAGTTTTTAAGGAGAATCCTTAGGAGTGAAGCTTTAGTTTACAAATCATATATTTTTACAGAAATTATTCGACATTAGTTTTTCATACAATCACTGTAATTTCTCATGCGTTTGTCTACTCGTCAAGATGGCGTCGAAAACCGTGACAAGGTCTATTATATTCTTGTACGCTGTTAGGCCTAGGTATGCTAACTATTTGCCATGTGTCTCTATATTCAAGGTTCGACCACTGGTTGGCCAGGAAAAAGTGCATAATGCTTCACAGTGTGTACGATTTATTCCCGACAAGCCACAGTTAATACTTGGAAAGGACAGAGGATTTACATTTGATTATGTCTTTTCACCAAAATCCTCCCAGGTTAGGTATATTGTATTCAAATAGAGTGTAACTAAGTATCTGCAAACTGTACAATACATCATGTAACTGAGCAATTTACTGCACACTCATTGGCCAATGAGAGTTAGATCATCAAAATGACATATTTTAAATGCAATGATGTTGCAATTTATTATTATCATTTGTTTTCATTTGTCTCTCAAATGTGATTTTCCAAGAAACTCTACTGGAAATGGATGTTAAAAACTGTCAATGTTTCTGGATATTTTAAAGTGCAAATAGACACCAAATTTCCATTTTCTTTTAAGCTTTTTTTTCATTACTAGTAAAAAAAATTGATATATACCTGCATGTATCTGAAAACAGTTGAGTCCACAGTGAAAATGAATACCACAGTATACACAGCGCCAGTTTATGTCCATTAATCCTTGTGTTTGCAGGCAAGTGTCTACGATAAATGTGTGGAACCCCTTGTCAAGAGTTGTATGGAAGGATACAATGTCACTATTTTTGCTTATGGACAGACAGTAAGTACACATAACATGTGTAACAGACAACTGATATATTATTATTCTTGACACCTAGTGTACACACCCTTATTACAGCAAAGTGACTGTGTCATTGAGCTTCCCCAAGGGAGCTATAAACATGCTTACTCAGAGAGTTAATGGGTCTAGGTGTTTGGAAATGCAGTACAAGTACATTCAATTTTTGTGATAATTTATGACAAATACTGTTGACTCCCGATTACTTGAACCCTTGCTAACTTGAACCAAAGTAGATTTCTCCTGGATTTTACCTCATACATTTACTGTCTTTTACCTTCGGTAACTCAACTCATTGATAACTTGAACTTCCCGGCCCAACAACAACAACAACATCAACAGTTTATTGAGGTCAGAAACATTGAATTTATTTCAAAACAACTATGTCAGTTCTTTGTCTTTGCTTTTTTAATTGTCATTCCAGTTCAGATCCAGGGTCTATCCCTGTGAATTAATCAAGCTTTTGTTGTTTAATGCCTTTTTCAACATATCGCTCCTCATCTTTTGCTGCTCTTGAAGTGAAGTGTGCCTGGTACTTGCATTCCCTCCTCATCCTTTTGCATATTTTCTTATTTTTGGTTACTTGCTTTGAACTTCCATTAACTCGAATCCCACTAACTCGAACTTTTTTTTTTATTTCAGTAGACGGTTTGAGTTATCAGGAGTTGACTGTAATACATTTTTTGTCTAATGATAAAGAGTACATTTTTTTCTTGCGTATGTTAAGGTTGAAAGTGTTGTATTAATGTGCACATAGGGCTCAGGAAAGACATACACAATTGGTGGAACTGACAGTGCTGGCCTTTTGGAAGAAGAATATGGAGTTATTTTGAGAGCTGTTAAGCAGCTTTTTCAGATCATGGAGGTACGTAACTTTATTTGAAGATAAAAGATTTACAAAGTTTTTAAACTTTGTACATCTTTACATTAAAATGTACTTGTGTTTCACCTGTACTAAAATTGTCTAACTTGGTTTTCTTCTTTCACTCTGTGGATATTTCAATTGAGCATTAATTTGTATTCTGTTCTGTAACTAAAACAACAATATTATTTATGGTTTCTTTGTTTCATTTTTGTTAACCATATAGTTTTCAATTGTTATGTCAGAATGTTTGTTGAGTACTGTTATCTGTTTTTCCAAGTCTCGAGTATGGTTTATTTGTTTGTTGGTTGAGTGGGGTTTGTGTTATATGCTGCCAGTCCTTGTTGTTCCTTTTTTTCTGTAATGACATAAAAGTTTTTGAGACAAATATTAGCGATAAAAAATCACGACGTTTCGACCTCTCCGAGGTCATTTTCAAGTGTATAAAAGTTCTCTAAATTAGAATAAATAAGTGAAAAACAAGTAATAATAGATAAAAATGTGGTGAACGCTAAAATGTGATAAAATATGTAAAAATGTAAAAAGTGCTAAAAATATTTATAAAGTCAAAAAACAATGGAAATAAAACAATGTTAACAAGAACTACTCTAAACAAATAATTTGGCGCGAATTGAATCGCACTGTTTGTTAAGCGTCGGTTTCAGTTCTTGGATAAAAAACATTTCAAAAATAAGACAGTCAAATTTGTTCTGACACTTTCTTAAGATTCTAAAACTTTGTGCGATGTCTTCAGGCTCCATATCATGCTGCTCTCTGAGGTGGTTTTCGATTGCCGATCCTTTGTTTTCTTCAATTCGTTGGTGTAGGTGTCGGCACGTGTGGCCGACATAGACTGCATCACACAGGCTACACTGGCAAGAATACACCACGCATTGTTGTTTCACAAGAGGCGGCTTGTCTTCCTTGACCTTAATTTCATCTTTGATCTTCCTACTTATGTAAACTGGGCTGATGTCTGCGTTGATCTTCCTACTCAGGTCAGCCAGCTGTTTATGTACTACGTTTGCTGCTTTCTGGTCTTTGAAGGGCAACACGATTCTGATTGAGGCTTCTCTTTTATCAGCCACTTGGGTGTGTGAATCCTCGGACACTTTGGATTCAATGAATTGGCGAATGGTTGACTGCACAAGGTCGTCTGGATAGCGCAGTTGGGAGAAGATCTCTTTAAGGCGTTCACATTCCTCGTGAAAAAACTTCCACGTAGACGAGAGTTTAAACGCACGGTTAAGCATGGTGTTCAGGAGTGACCATTTGTATCTGGCGTCAACGTGACTGTGATAGTGTAGCAGAAGTCCAGACATAAAAGTTCTAGCTAATTGATTTCAAAATTGTGTATTTAGTCTAACATTATGTATTTTTCTTGATTTCAAGGAGAACAAGCACAAAACAGAATATGTTATCACTGTGTCTTATATCGAGATTTACATGGAGGAGCTGAGAGATTTGCTTGATCTAGAAACATCCAGTAAAGACATCCATGTCAGGGAGGATGAGAAAGGAAATACAGGTGTTCTTTATTGTTACTGATCTGTAAAGACCGAAACAATGTAGCCAGGAAAAATGTCAACTCTAATCACTCGTGGTTGGAGAGAGAGAGACATCTGCATTTTGGTGCACCAAAATTCCATAGAGATGACATAAATCTGTCCAGAATCTGGTCAGGATCTTGGATTGGTTGCCTTCTATGAGATAT